GCTTTTATACTCCCAAAGTGTTAAGTTATTTTAAAAAATTCAGGGAATAACATTTTAAGTATTTGACTATGGGACCCGGAGAAGTAGCAAACAGACTCTTGGGGGGTTATTGAACTGTCAGATAAGCTTACTCCAAGAGTTTCGGGTCATGTCTAACAAAATATTATAATTAACATAAATATAAAAAGGGGATATGATTTTAATAAAAATAAATATGCAAAAAACAAACTGATTCTGCAGCTTTTATCATTTTCTGCCTTATGTTTTGACGGCCATTTTGGTTTTTTGCTAAGTGGTACGCGCTTAAGCGTATTCACTAGTACTGTTGTGCTCTCCTGATAGGATACACGTTCAAAAAAGCTGTCAATAAAGTTTACCCGGTGACTTCTGGTCGTTTTTCTATTTTTCCTCATAAATTGACGGCCATATTGAAAAATGCTCAAGGTCTCGGAAATAGCAACCAAGCTAATTTTGCTTCTCTCGGCCTGAAGAATGCATTTCAGCAAAAAAAGTTTACAGGAAAGAACATTGCAGGGTTCGACTATTGGGCCTATGGGAGTGGCGACTCGACTATCACTTTACAGTCACGTACAGCACCGCGACTTTGTGCTCAAATTTATTTTTTATCAGCCCTCTAGTTATGATATACCGATGAGCATTTCTAACTAGGATTTATTTATATTAATTTGTTTTCTGTTTCAGACTTCACCTAAACTCTTCACACTCTAAACAGCATGACGATGTTGCCATTCATGTGTTTTGGTCGATATTCCAGCATTTGGAAATGTATGAAGGTTTAGTGAAAATAAACGAAATACCTGCCATCAAATTTGGTGTTATTGCGTTTGCCAGTATTATTGCAACACTTAGTCTCGCTACATTTATGGCGCGAGGAGTATTTTTTATCTTTGTCTTGGATATCGTGTTGAACTCTCATTTCTCATTTTTAAATTAAATAAACATGTTGTTATGACCAAATAAGGTTACACTTACAAAAACTTTGAAAATAATTTCCTTACTACTTAAGTTAATTTTTCTTTGTCTCTCCTTAAGAGTTGCTTTGCATTGCTAACACTTTCTTCAAGAGCGCGTCTTTTTCATATTCATTTCCCTTTTTCTTTCTTGTTTTACCTTTTGTATGAAATAGATTTATTTTGACCCATGGTTTAACTAAGCAGTCGCTAGCAGAACATGAGCATGAAGTAGATCCGAAGTCAAAATTGCACCCCACTCCGTATACTCCAAATGTGGGGTGAATGCATCAAAAACATTTTTACTTAGCTTCCTATGGCATTATATTGACTAAATCGATATCGTTATCATGCAGCGCCTCTGATTTTGTGGTTTATTTTTTTAGCAAACTAAATCCACGTTGCAGCCGGGACTTTTGACACATACACCAGTACGGGCAATGTTTTGGACTAGCATTGCCGCAAAACTTCCCTATTATCTAATTAAATGCTACAGTAAGCTTGCGGGCACGGCATTAAGCGAACATGGCATTAAGAGTAGTAATGCGAAGGTTGCGACGCATTATGCAGTCATTGTTCAGTGTAAGTATCCATCTATACTGGGTAATTCTGTTAACTAAACCCTAAATCGTTTGTTATATTGATTTTCGCGGCGGATATCTGTCCTCCCTCTGTTGCCAAGGCCACAAATACATCCGGTTGAGCAGCAACGGTCCATGATTGCCATAAGTCTCCTGATACAGTTTCACGACCACAACGTTTTTCACCAAAGGTAAGTAAATATAGTTCATTCATTTTACTTTCATACGCATATCCAAGTAGGGTCATAGACTGAGAAAATGGTTGGAGGCAAGGTACACCTCTTCATGAATGCTGACTGATATTAATTCTAAAAGATATTTCTGAAGTTCTGTGAGGAAGGAATGGGATAAAATTTCAAAAAGGTTCCCCCCCAAAAGTTTTTCCCAAATTGTCTTGGGTTCCATCCCCACCCTAGATCCCCACCCCTAAAACCTACAGGGGGACTTTGCACGTATGTACTCTCCGTCTCTCTCGCAAAGGAGACAGAAGAACAGTTTTTTCGTTACAAATCATTTTGGCAGCATAATCAAAACACTTTTAAGCTTACAGTACGCAGCCAAAGCTGTTTCTCAGAAAAAAAAATTCGATTTAAATGGAATATGAATCAAAGTTTTTATCTCTTTAGGCCTAAATATTATGTTCTTTGCACTGCTTGTTATGTGTTATGTATCGTAGTTTAATTGTGTAGCCAATATAGACGCTGCGTCAAAAATTATCCTTTATTAAAAATGCTGTTACGTCAATCCAGCGTCTACACAAACATACTTTTTTTAAACAGCACTGTTTTTATGCATCAACCAATACGTACTCACAGGAATCCAATAAATAGCTTCATCTGGCATGTGAATTCAAGTTGCTGCGAAATTGCACACATAATAGAAATATTGTATATTTCCGAGAGTAAACTGACTTCGACCTTTTGTGATACGTTGAGTAACAATAGATTCCGCGTGGTCAAAAGCATGAGGATAGATTTTTCTGCATATCGACAAAAATAGCATCGTGGGGGATGAGGAATTATATTACACGCGAGGCTTAAAATGAATGTAATGGATACATGACAAAGGATCTTTAAAGGCTCTCTGTCGAAGAATAAAGAAAGTGCATTTAAAGACGGACATGATTTTAAAACTTCTCTACTTGAGAGAGAGAGAGAGAGAGAGAGAGAGAGAGAGAGGGGGGGGGGGGGCAAAATGAGAAAAAAAGAGGCTGTGATGTCTTATTTACTCCACGTAGTGCCAAATGACGTTTTTATAATCAGCTATATTTTATCAATGTCATTGAATTCTTATTAGTGTATGATTGGTACATTCATGCTGTTGACAAACGTACATTTTCGATGTAAGAAACCATTACTTGCATCCATGAACATTTTTGTTCGTGTCGGTCACGTAATAATAGATAATGGAAATGCGTTTACTTTAACCATCGATTTTCTCCTGGTAAACTTTACTTCCACTATAGCCCTTTGATGTAAATGAAAGTGGATTTTGAATACACACAACTACAGGGCATTTAGATTATTATGTGATAAAAGACACTTGGTAACTAGCATTATTGATGTAATTGTTGTCGTAAAGTAATGGCTACTGGTCTTGCATTGGGAAAATTGTCGAAGATAAAAAAATCCATTCACGGATAAAGAGATTATCGTGAATGAATGTAGCAGAATTTTTACATTTAATCTATTCATTTTGCAGCAACATGTCACGTAAGGAGAAACAGCAATCTACGCAAGACGAAGGAGCGATGATAAAATGCGAACAACTGGAAGAAATAATCCCAAAAGTACCGATATTGCGTCTTCCTGCCAAAACACACATTTCCAATGTCATTTTATCCTCCAATCCATGGGAAAGGCGAGAATTGGAGAAAAAATTACAGCATATGTGCACTGAACGCTTTCGGAAAATCCACGCGCTCCAATGGCATCAAAGGAAGTTCTTTTTGACGAAGTACTTTGAAGAGACTAATAATATTGGACGTCTACAGAAAGCTTTATGCGACAATATTCAACCTGCCAGTTCTCCAATAAAGTCTCAACTCCGATTTTCCGCCACAAAACGCGACTTAACATTTGTTTCTGACCCTGGCGTTAATATATTTTGTGGTCAAGTTGGTCACGCTGAACAACCGCTCCAAAGGAACCAAAATGTCAGTGCTGTTGCTTCTGGAACACAACAAACGCTCCCCATTGGTAATGGCGTAGGGAAGAAACCCCAATATTTCACGGAGTCGCTAAATTCGCACACGGGAAGTACATGCGGGAGTGTTTGTGAGGCACCAAGAGCTATGGTCATGGCTAAAGACGAGCTCGGAGATGCCAGGGAAAGCAATGGTAATGACGGCATGCTCTGTCTCATGGGACGAAGTCAGGAGCCTTTTTCTAAGGACACTATCAGTGACTTGACACCCACAGACCAAATTATACATGCCAAACCGCATGCAAACAACTTACAAGTTGACGCCCACACGTATGACATGTCCCTTCCTCCATTGATTGCTCAACCACATCGCTCTCTCACCACAGTTGACATTGCCACCAATACTGAAACTCAACCAGCGGCTCCAAACCGACAGCTAACTCTGCCTGCACTACGCCTTACTCCTCCACAGCACCAAGGAGAGAGACCGGTTACTCAGGAAAACAAAACTCTTGGGAATTTAGACGGCCATAAGACTAACTCCAACCGTGGGGGACAATTATACACGCGCAACAATGTGTTAAAAGATTTGGTGAGGACGTTGCCGTTTTCTATGCAAGCCAAGGCAGAGGAATTGTCTAGCAGGCGGTTAAAGGAGAAGAAGATGAAACTTTTAGATAGGGCAAAGATGCTCTCTAGAAGGAGCCTGTTCGAGGATCCAAGATGGCGGCGTTTACATGACACATTGCAGGAACTGAACGGGAGTAAGGACGATGACGTGATGAGTACAGCGTCTGAGAATGACACATCACTGAGCTGTGATTGAATTGGCTGCACAGTGACAAATTATATCCTCTGATGTCATTGTGGTCTCGTTTATCATCATGTGCCTGTTGGCAGTTTGAGTATGTCACCCAGAAATTCTTGAAATTCAGGGAGGTTTAAAGGTTTAAACTAAACTTGTGCTCGAAATGGAGCATATTTTAGATGGTTTGACCTGACGATGTTAGGGTTCGAACTCTAGGTCTTCACCTCAATGTCGCAAAGAGAAACCCCGTAACACACGATAAACTTGGAAATTATAATCCGTGCCTCCTTTCTCTCTACTTTCCTCCTTAAAAGCTTCTTTTCCCGTCCGTCTTTTAAATACACAGGATGATGGAATAGCCATGCAACTTGAATTTACAGGACTTGTAAGAGCGTTGATTAAAAAATCAAACAGCTTAATAAGATAATAATCATGATAACTGATTATAAGTATTAGGAACACTGTCAGAATATCTGGCATAATGTAGCATAACATGACATAACATGGCTTTGAAACACTAAGACGATAATAATTATGATAACTGATTATAAGTATTAGGAACACTGTCAGAATATCTGGCATAATGTAGCATAACATGACATAACATGGCTTTGAAACACTAAGACGATTAGGTGGAATTTATTGGAAAAGCCGAGCTTATTTCTGCGGCTCTAACAACATGCAAATCATGAACATAAAATAATTTTGAAAACGTGTCAACCGTATCTATGTATTGCATTATGCTCTGAATTTAGACCAGTGTATATTGGAGCCAAGTGTACAAAAATCATACGCACGACCTATTAATTTTCAATTATAATCAAGAACAATTAAACACGAGAATTCCAACTGAAGTACCTAATATTATATTATATGTGCGTTTCTCATGTCACTACAAATAGACATGCATCAATAATTTTCATCGATTACGTGACAATCTCACAGAAACCAGCGCATGGTGTTTGCTTTATTACGGACATATGCTCTAATCCATTTTGAATAATCTGAATAATTGTTCAGCATACTCTATATAGATCGATGGCGTGTATATTTCAGACTAGTTTTTGTTAGTCTGTTGAGCACAATTCATTAATAAAGGCAAGACTCAAAAGCACCATTTTCATGTTGCATTCGTTATGGGTTGTCAAACCGACGACTGAAAACGGTTCAGCAGTGTCGTGATTGATATTTGTTTTGTCATCATTGTCATTCCAAACATTATTCCCCATGGAGGACATGTCAAAAGCGTGTTTGGACATCTTGCGTATTGTTATACAGCTCAGATGTTGCTGATAATGGTGGACTGCTTGGATAAACGACAAAGCAAGCATTCTTTCAATCCGGTGTCGTGGTTGTGATATCGCTACCATAATCACAACTAAAACATTCCAAATTTTAGTCAAGTCATATTCATGACTGTATTTCATCCAAGGTTTAACGTCTATAAAAGGGCCTGCCAACACTTTCCTGAACGAAAAGAAACCATTCCTTTCGTCTTATTCAGCAAGAATCAGATATGGTGTTTTTGGTATATCGGAATTTTTAGAGTCTATGTCAAACGGTTACATTTGTAATCATTGTCCACTACTTAACGAAACTCACAAAGAAAACCATTGTCATGAAGGCCGTCGACATAATACGGTAGATTGATAAAGTAACGTGTATTACATACGATTATTACGTGACTTGTAACTATAGCTATCAGGGATAGCCGTTGACCTTCAATGTATGCAAACAGCAATTTGTAGTGCTGCGGCATTCGTCTAGACGCTTAATGAAATAAAAATGTAAGAAACGTCTATTGCTCTGGCAGAAAGGGAAGGACTTACACTTTTCAAAGATAAAAAATCGTTTTCAGAAATTTCTGGGAGGGTAACTGACTTCCGTTTCCATCAGCGTACGGCCCTGCTACTATCTTAAACACCAATATTGTCTATAGATAGTTGATGCTTGCCCTGTTTAAGCTTGACATTTATAGCAACAAACACAATTTAGCACAATTACCGATCGATTGTTATCAAAACCTCCGGCGTTTTATTGTTTTTATTCATAATATATTTCTTCATTTATTTTTTGCGTGGTCAAAACCCGCCCATCAAATAAAATGTCTTTCGATAACTCTATCAAAGAGTTTAAACATCTTCTGTCCTTAAGAGAAAACGTTTCTAATTTGAAATTCGCAAAAATGTGGAATCATACCTATGATGCAATTTATTGGTTAAAGTGTCTTTCCAGAACTAACTTTAACCCATTTAGTATTCACAGAAAAAAAATTACCAGCAACTCTTCTTCTCGGTAAACTACGCTATGCTATAAAAGCCTCAGAAAAAGACTCGAACACAGGTCATAAGCTTTCTGTAGAATAATTTTAATTATGAAAGCCCGTGATAAGCATCCTGTCCTTAGGTGCATTGTCTTTCTTTAGAGGGTCAGGGTTGTGGAGATTTGCGAGTAGCGATCTCATGGTTGGTTCAACAAGCGCTCCTTTCAGCAGTTGGCCTGTTTGTCATAATTCACGAATGCGTCGTTGAAATTAGGCAAGTGTCTCTTAAAGCACCGGAAGGCGGCAGCGTCGCACTCGCAGACTTGCGAACGGCACGAGCCTGCCCACCAGTAGTATTCAGGGGGCTCTGAATGAAAAGAAAAACAGGATGTACAGTTTTATAGATGGAAGGACGGCGAAACAGACAGACAGACAGACAGACAGACAGAGATAAATAGATACATGTAATCAGACTGAAGGCTGTGAATACGTCATGAATACACGACCATTCATCGGGCCATTAACGACCAATTTATAACGATTTATAACAATTGTACTGAAAATTTGAACATTGGACTAAATTAATATAGATGACTTGAAGTTAATAAGATTCTATCAACACTTACTGCAGTAGGGATCGTGGCATTTGTCGTATCGATATGGCACCAGATAGGGCGACTGTGCCCAGGCACAAATACCATTAAGGTCTATGTTTGCGAAACATTCGTCGTGTTTCTGACAGCATCTATTGTGGAAATATGAAAATATTCAAAGAAGTATAACGGGACACGGATTATTGTGCTTCCAAGGCTAATGCTTCTGCTATCTTGTACATTTTTCACCTTTGATTTGAGCAGTTTAACACTGGACGTTGAGTCTACTTATTAACCTTTATTGTTAAAAGTTTGACCATCGATTTTGTTTGCATATAGATGTTTATCTTACATATAATAACACGAAAAGCAATGATCACTCCCCCCCACACACACACACACTCATACGTGCGCACGCACGTACGCACACGTACATACAAACCTGCCCAAAACCGCGTTACCAATAAACATACTCACTCGTCTATTCCGTCCACCGGATCCCCGGATCCTCCTACCCCGCAGTGACAACCATAACCACCTGGAAATCTGAGAGGGTTTTTCTCTTTGAGACACTGGGAAAGTAGGCGGTGCTTGAACACAGTGGCCGGGACCTCCTCCTCGGAGGTAATGGTGGGCGGGACTCCTGGGATAACTGAAATAAGACAATTTATATATTCCTCAAACATTGAAATCGTGGGATAGGATAACGAATATTCCTCACATATTAAAACCTGAGCAGTAAGATAAGGATCGAAATAGGATTGTTAATATTCCTCACACAGTGATATCTGTCGGATAGGATAACGAATATTCCTCACATATTAAAACCTGAGCAGTAGGATAAGGATCGAAATAGGATTATTAATATTCCTCACACATTGATATCTGTCGGAAATGTCTGAGGAATAAGATTCGAATGTAGGGCTGGCTATTCATATTCCTCACTCATTGATTTCTGTGGCATGGGATAAGGAAATAACGTTATTGCCTTTACATGGGCCTCTAGATCAATAATAAAACTCATTCGCACTTTTATAGCAAGACATTTAGTAGATCATTGTGCACATCTTATCAATTGATTTAGAGAAGAACTTCAATATCGATCACCCCACTGTACATTTGGTAATGTTTCACCGACAACGACTTACAGACGTCAATTGCGAAGTATAGCCTTTGACGGTCCGGGATAGCTTCCAAAGAACACCATTTGTTCATTCGATATTGAGGTGTGGTGGCGTCGTACATCCCTTTGAGGTTGGTCCAGCAGCTGCCGTCGGGCGCGACACTGAACGCTGTAAATCCAGCAGCATGTGCACCTCTTACGCATGCGTCAAGGTGTAGGGACATATTGGAGTAAAATGGAATGGAGACGTTGTAGGCGTAGAATGGAGCGTAACGGGAGAAAAACTGCCGCTGAGGATCGTTCCAGCATCCCAGTCTTCGGTGGTGTAGTATGATAGCTGGAATGATGATGTTAGACGTAATTAGATTTAGTAAGATCAAATTAGACTTGATTAATAGTAGGCCTACGTATGGATATGAAACGTTCTGGGAAATTTAGAATGCATACAAAGACAGAGGCGCAATGATAACTGATTTGTGACGCATTCTATTTTACAAATTTATGGAGTTTACATGATACTTACTAAACCCAATTGGTTATTTATTTCAAAATCCGATTCATCCATATACCCAAATATAACCCCACTGCTTTTAATGTTCAAAAACGACAAAAGAAATCGCCACAATCATATCCATTTAAGGCAATACGCGCCAAGACCGTATTAAGAAGTTTAAAAAAAAAGCAGGATGGCCGGCGGCACTAGGGGCATGTACATTGTATCTAATTAAACTACTTACCTAGACAGTCCGTGTCTCTCCTCCAGTCGCAGACGCCAAGCATAGGGTTATAGCGTGTGTCGTCATGGCACGCTTGTTCATAGCCCCTTCCGTACTGACAGTGGACAAACTGGTCACACTTTGTAGGGTGGGTATTTAGCTGCAAACCTGGAGAGCATATTCTGTCTGAAATAATAATAATAAAAATAATAAAAATAATAATAATAATAATAATAATAATAAAAATAACACATGTGTATCATGGTTATATGATATGTCATTGCTGCTATGAACACACGGACAAAGAAGTGAAAAGAAAGGTTTCAATATGAAAAAAAAAAAAAAATTGCAGTTCGCTCAAAGAGTTCTGGCCACCAGTGTGGAAGTCTATGCACAATGTACGATCCGCAATCAAACAGCCGTGCTCAGACTACTTTTTGACTCATAAAACAAAAAGTGTTCAACTTAATTATGTCTTATTCCTTTAACAAGTTACAGTATTGTGGTATCTTTCATTTGTATGGTTTAAAGAGAATATACACAGGAATTGTCAAAGATTAAAAGGAAGTCCTACATTATCCAAATATCAACCTTTAGATTACTGATTTTGTTTTAATTGAGCAATTGCCCCTCTTCGTTGTGGACAAGAAAAATGATATTGATGATAAGCAAAATGAATAAACACAGAGCCAAACAACCAACCAAATAAATACATAAATAAAGGAAAATACAGCCAACAAACACATAAAGGTACTCTGTATAGGGTTTACCGACAGAAAATAAAATTTCTTCCAGAAACAGCAATTTAATCCTTTTCAGGCATTATTGCTCGACCCAGCCCTGCACTTGGATTCGAAACTTTATTCCATTTTTAATTTAATAATTTAATCCAAAATGACTGGTCATTTATTGAGAGCGCCATGTCTTCATGTGCATTTCAGAAGAAACTATCGACGTCAGATACTTTTCGTGAGGGGATTTATAGCTTTTTTAAAAAGTCTGAATTCAGTTATATTAGCAGCTTTGCAGGATATGTACATTTAAAACAACCTGACTTTGGAAAATGTTCAAACGCGTGCAGTATACCTCTAACGACCGTCTGTTAACATTAACGGTCTGAGCACGTGATTCATGTACACGTTACACTCATTACACCGCTCTGCACATTTATCATGTGGACGTGCAGCCGTGCATGCGGTTTTATTGTGCGTGTAGAGCACGAGCATCAAGACCCGGTGTAACGCGTGTGAAAGGGCGCTCCTGTGACAAACACAGTGAAAACAGTACAACAAAGTCAAATTATGAATTTAAATAAGATATTTAGACTTGAATTCAAATTACTACTTATGCCAACTTCTAGTGCGTTTCGGTGTTCCCTACCTACACTTAATATGACAATTATTTCACAAAATATAAAATACAAACACACAGGGTATCCAATTAATGACACACACTTGCTAAAACGGAACTTAATGCGATGTCTTAATCACATTTTAATGGCTATCAAAACCAATTAACACGCTTTCATGTGTAGACCGGCGTATTCGCCGGTCATATTAAACAAGATCTCCAAAGAAAAATAAAAATAAAAGAGCAATTTAGGAAAAAAGGCTAAACATATATGAATTATAGAAAGGAAAATGACTAAGCGCCCAATTTTATAACAAGAAGGTTATATTTTACACGAAAAGTTGATATGATTTCGTCCATATGTTGTAAAATCGGCATCACTTTGGATTAGGCATCTCTTATTTCTTTTTTTTTCATATTACAAATCATGCCTTTGCGGTGTTTTTGGAAGTTTGAAGTCCTATCAGCAGAATTTTCGTTTCTTCCATGTCGCTACATCAGCATGTTATTTTTTCTTTAAAACAGTTTGGCAAATCGCTCCGTTAAATCCCACGACTTTTAAATGTAATTTAACAGCGTAACCCACCTCTTGTTTTAAAAAAGTTCTTTACTGATATATCATAATATATATAACTTTTTTGAATATTTTAAAAATCACTTACTCAGTTGAAGCTGTGATAATGTAAAGCTACCCGGGACCAGAAGACAGATGAGTATCGAAGCCACAAACGGTAACTTATCAGTAAACATATCCGATGACGGCCTCAGGTAAAAATCGACGACCCAAACAGCGCAGATTTCTCAGTTGCAAAATGTTCTTTTAATATGTATTACTTCATGTGTATAATATAAACCTCGACAACAAGCAGCCGTATGCACATATGTTCTGTCATATATTGCACTTCTTTAAAAGACAAACTGCATTTCCACCTTATAAAATTCAAACATAATTAATCTTGGTGTAATTTCTTATTCAAATCGACCACATGAAAAAAAATGTCCATATTCATGACTTCATTAACACGTGTACAGCCTCGATCCCAGAGCTGCCATCTTGACTACACTTTATATATTTTCTTAGGCCAGTGGTCTAGCACAATTAGATTTTAAAAATCTTATTTGATAAGAAGTAATAGCTTCTCCCGTGCAACTAACAACCTCGCGGAAAAGATATTATTACAAATAGACAAATACGCCTGTTTTCTTTCTCGCAACATCTGATACCCCTCTAAGGAGAGTACACGAACCAAAATCCATTTAGTTGTAAAGTTTTACACCTCAATTTAATTATTGTAATTTGTGGTGTAGCAAAAGGAAGACATGTTAATAACACACCACGATTCTGCCGTGATATGAATATCAATATTGTGAAAGCACATCGGATTTGAACCGGGAGAGGTTTAATGTTCACTGTGGCCAGAGAGGTAAATCAAGAGGCGAATAGATGTTTACGCTTTTAAAGGTATATTAACCGCGTTTGAAAATAACACGAGGTCACGTTTAATATGTCTAAATAATCTGCCAACAAGCTTATTTGTCCTATCCAAACCATACAAACGATTAAAAACCCAAATGACTGGTTGAACATGTAAAATTAATTGTTTTAATTATAAGTATTATACAACGTCGAATTCAAGTACAGGGACGTGTAGAGCAATAGGTCGTGAGTAGACGTCAACTGCAAAATTCGATATGGAGGGAAAATTCCGGATAGGATACCTTTAACTTCACTCCACAAGGTAGAGAGTCCCATGGCGCGCCTTATAAGAGATACGCCAGGTGCGCACACGATTAAGGTGACATGTATGGGAAGAATATACGGTAGGCCCCTTCTGTTGATACCTGCGAATAGCGAGACGATGGGACTGAAACCATCCTTTCAATTCGCACACCTGTTTACAAAAAATATGAATAGAAATAAGCCGCAAAGACGATGGTTATGTTAAATTGTTAACTGTTGACATATGTTGCGAAACCTCCCCGTCGAACCCTACTCACACACTTCAGATCAACGACAAGTATAGTATTCAGATCGCTCACTTTTATCCTTTTATCTTTTCTCTCCCTCACTCTTTTTTCTGCAAACTAAAGATTTCACTTCCTGCACATCTGTACAAAGAAAGGAGAAAAGCCGTGTCGATTCCTTAATCAATAACCATAAAAACAGGGATGGTGCAATGTACGATGTGGAACTAACCATGTGCTGTGGTTCAACGCATGCATTGTCCTGAAAAACCACTTCGCGAGGTGAGTGGTTACGGGTCACACACATGACAGGCCAAATTGCACATTGCCCATGAAAAGCCATTTGCACATTTGAAAGTCATTCGCACTTCCGGACTATAACATGGCGAGAGCCCACGACAAAAGGGCATTGACTTTTTAAATTCAGCACTGCTACAATCTTTTTTAAAAGTTCAAGTTATATCAGCGTATCAAACGACGGATTATGAGAATAACAATGATAAATAATTAAATTATTAAATAGATCACGAAGACTTCATATTGAGTTGATCGTTGCGGTCTCAGAATAGTAATGAAGATTCAAGATCTGTATAGAATGCATCAAGGCTGTGATTGGTCATGTGTCTTTCATTATCTTTTTTTTGTATTTTTCCTATTATCATTATTTGTACAACATATCTCTGTACTACACGAAATGTGGTTTGTTTTCTCAGTTCTCAAACACGAGGACAACTGTGGGTTACGCTCTATTCGCAAAACCAGCTACACATCATCGTTATGTCATTTACGACTTTATTGCGTATTTATATACATTGCGCATCGGAAATAACGCCATTATTTGCCTAAGTATAGTCGTTTGCGTTTATTAGACAACAGCAGAAAAGGCATCTGTGGTAAAGACACACGAAACATTTAAGTGCGTGTTTAGGTGATTCGAGAAACAGGTAGGTCTACTAGGGGGGCGTAAATAGAAATTTAACGTATATGGGCGATGAAAAGCTTTTAAAGGCGTGCGTTAGGCTCGGGTGTAAAGTTATGAAATTCACGTTAAGCACAGTGTTTTCATTTTAATTTACTCGGAGGCTTACCAAGGTGGTTTTCTGATCAAACAAACAAAAAATGATTTTGGATTTGATCAATACTGAGTCACCCCCAGAATGCTATCGTTGTGAAGCAAAGGAAATTTTCATCAACCAAATTTTCAATCGGCTATAAGTCTGTAATAAGAAATAAAAAGTACAAAGGCCCATATATATTCCAACGATTATGTTGGAATGCATAAGCGACATGATTGATATCATAACAACTTGTACATAACAAACGTAAATTGAAGTGAACATTTCAGAAAACGTATATAAATAAATATGACAAGGTAAGTGCTTTCCAATAGCATGTAAAACAATATAAACATTCACTGTCACAAAAAGTCATTTGAACAATAACTTGGTGCAATTTCAAAATCCGAGCGACACATCTACCACAATTAGCTACGACTCCCGCAGTTTCAAATAATCACACAGTGCCATTCGTTGACTCAGTGACATTTTCTTTTGTCGTAGTTGACATATTTGGCGTTGAAGGTGCCCCTCTGGTCTTGAAAACACTGGGCTGCTATCATGTCACACTTGCAGATCTGGTAGCGACACCGTCCGTACAGCCAGTACCACGACGGAAGTCCTAAAACAGTGTGATATAAAAGGGAAAAATACCATTTATACTTAATGATGCTGTCTTTAAGCACCCGCATTGTTTCCTTATTGTTATCAATTAAATTCTGGTTCCTCAAGCACTTTAGCTATCGGTGAGCGTCTTCGGTAAGATATTTTGCACTCCAAATGTTTTTAATGGTGTAAATGGTCGTTGAAAATATTTAGAGGCGGACCACGACTATTAAATAGGACTTAATCTTCACGAAGTCGGTAAGCCATAATCTTCTTCACACTCATTTGATGAAATTGTAGAGCAACATTAAGTAAAAATATTTTTGGACATTTTACAGGATAGGTCTACATAAAAAAAATTATTAAGTAACGGAGATGGGTTTAATCGTGGAAAAATAATTAAATAGACATGATAAAGAAATGATAAAGAGATCTTGTATAACAAAATAAGTTTTCTTACGGCAGGCTGGCGTCATATTATTTCCCTTGCATCCACTGTAAGAGTAAGGAAGAAGATAGACAGTTAACCTCCAGTTACACTGTCCAGTTCTTGTCAACATCTCGTAACACTCATCGTGTATCTTACAGCACCTGTGAGGAAAAAAAAAAACAAAACCAATTAAATTAGTCATTGAGTCGTTCATGTACTTATCCCTTATGCAAGCTATCCTTGATTCCTCTCAGGTACACGTAGGTTTGCTAAGAGAAAATTTATATTATAATAACCTACAGGGACTTTTTATTAAAAATACTCTACTGAGAGACTGCTTAGTTATCTTTCCTCACAATGCAAGACGCCGGTAACTTTTTCACCATAATTCCAAATCAAATCTGACTTTCTCTTACTCTCTCTCCACACACGGACAAGCACACACACGTGCATAAGGACACACACACGTAAACGCGAGCACGCGCATTCACTTACTCGTCTGTTGGGTCGACTACTGCCCCGTGACCACCAAGACCGCAGTGGCAACCATAACCATAATACTTCAGGGGATCCATGCCGGTCACACAGCCAACTAACGTACTGAACTCTGCCACGGATTCCAAAGGGTGATGCCCTGAAATATTCGATAGCCGTTAAAAAAAAATGCCTAAATGAACCACTCGAATTGTACGTCTCTTTTATGCGTGGAACTTTCCCTTCAAATTTTACTCCACATTAAAAAAAAAAAAAAAAAAAAGCCAGGAAAGCAGGAATCTGGACGTTAATGGCTTCTGATATCAAAAGAAGAACTGCGTGGCTTTTACCGTTGACACAACATTTATGATCATAAAACAACTACATATATCTAACAAAATAAAGACGAAAATTGGGCAGTGTCACCTTGGGTTGAACCTGAAATAGCTAGAGCATCGTAACCGCAATTTCTACGGTCTTTAAGATTTTTAAACTTCTTTAACCAAAAATGTTACTGTGCACTCCCGTGATAATTTTGGTTTGGTAAAAGAGAGCAGTTACCAAATGAACCAGGATGCGTATTGTCGTGCTGTTAGTATAAATTTAATGCAATCAAGAATCACCTCAGTAAAATTCAGGGACCAAGGTAGGGAGGAGCGAACTCGACAACCTCCCCCTCTCCCCCCACCCCCTTCGTGATACTGCCTCCATCAGCAATTGTAATTCTTAAAATAATTTTCACCTTTGTCTACACGAAAAAGTCTAACTTGCCCTTTTCTAGGCATGTCATTTTTACAGTGACTTGGCTGGTTTTGGGGGCTCTGCTCCACTGCCGTCTCCAGCTCCACGTCCGAGCTCAACGGCCCCCAGCAGTAGTTGTGCCTATCGATCCCGAAGTACCGGTGGCGGACCTTCAAGGCCTTGTGGGTACATCGGCGTAATGCGTAGGAGGCGTCTTGAAAGCGGTGGCGCGCGGGGTTACTTATATAGGTCAAGGTCGTGTCGTTTTCGTCACGCGCTGCTGATAAAGATTTAAGGTCGATCTTAACTTCGTCTAGCTTTGCTGACAGCATTTTATTGGCATCGTCTATGCACCCAAGGTCCAGGACTGAGTGTCTGTGGAATTCTGAATAAAGAAGAGCATATCACTTTTTGGGTATTAATATTCTTATATTAAGTTGTACGACAGCGTCTTTTATATTTAGAATTAATAAATAATGTTTTTTCCTCAAAATTGGTATGCTCCGTTTATTACAGATATATTGTATTCATCCAAGGGGTAGTAATCTTATAAAGAACTTATAATGATTAACAAATTATTGGATAGAAGCGTATGAGGAAAACATCGAGAAAAAAACCATAGACTCTGGTCGTGACTAAGAGAAACCCTAAAATTACCCCCATACAGGGGCAAATAGTAGGTACACATTCATTCAACTTCAGTCTCCTTCAGCTTCAGTGATTTAACAGTAATAATTTTGGTTGTCATAAAAGCGAGGTCGAAACAAAGCAGCCAGTATAAACTGTTTGAATCAAAATTAAAACAAACACGTGGTACATGTAGTATATAATGCATTACATGTTAAACAAACATGCATTTAAACAAAATGTACCTTTGATTTCGTCACTGATTTCAGCCGTAGCTGCACATACCACGACGCAGAGAATGGTCAAA